GGTCGGTTGAGTCTTTTGGAAGTAATCACCACTAGTGGAATAAGCAGTACCACCACCACCTTGGCATCTACATCTCAGCTACCACGTCCTAGTAGTGCTCCCCTGTCTGCATCTTTGGTATCTGTGTCTTCAGCATCTTCAGCATCTGCTTCTGCATCCCCTTCTGCTTCTTCTGCGTCTATATTGCCTTCTTCTATATTGTCTTCATCTCTGTCTGCTTCTGCATCCCCACCTGCCTCTGCATCTTTTTCTGCATCTCCCTCTACTTCTGTGTCTGCACCAGCATCTACTAATCCTCATGCTCCACGTGTGGCATTGCACGAATGGCATAGCTGACTCGAACATGACCTTGAGTTACTTAGAGCCACTGCTGGACAAGGAGACCATGTCATTCATATCACCGCCCCTGATGCTATGCAGGCTGCCGAAATCTTCCTGGCACTATGCAAGTTTTGGTATTGAGAAGGGAGCAACAGCCAGCTAGTCTTCCCAGACGATGTTGAGATAACTAACAGCACACCCTTGAATCTCATTATAGGCTCTATAGATGCAACTCTGTAGGTTAAAATGCACTACCACTGACATATTGCCTCTGACCTGCATTTTTACAGCGGTAATGGTGTAGGAGATGGCCCTATGCAAAGTGTTTGGGGCACCTTGATCACTATGATCACCCAGTATTCTGGCCATTGGCAGCTGATGTCTGAAGGATACTACATGCCAATAGTCACATCTCTTCCTCCTTGCGATGAAGACATCATTTCTTTTCGTGCCTATAGTCTCATCATCCGTACTGGTCTCATCCTCGGTATGGAGCTGCTTCCCATCTCACCACATTTACTTGTCTACCTACTGGATGGTTACCAAGCTTTGACTGCACATCCATTCTTAGATGTGATTTCACCCACGACAAGTCAACACCTACGCTCATGGCCACCACCTTCTGTAATTAGTCCTTCTACAGGTTGCAGGGAACTTGGTATTGCTCCTGCCCATGATCCATACTCACTGATCCTAGAGGTGGACGGTATGATACAGGTAAACACTCAATTATCTTATAGAGGTATCTAATCTGTCAATCTTGTAGATCAATCAACTGCGCCATCTCTCTGAAGCAGCACAGATGGACCTTGGGCAGAGGCTGGTTTGCCATATGGTCTTCGGAAATGAGACACCTCTAGCACATGGACTGCATGCAGTCTATGTTGCTCTAGGGTCTGCATTCCAATATGTCATACATGCTGATATGAAATTCTGTGATGTGAGTCAACAGTTTGTGCTCGGAGTATTTCTAATCTCGTCATCAGTACTTTCATGTAAATGGCTCTGCACAGCCCATCCTGCAAGAAATGTTCGCCGGTCGCATTCTGACCTCCCCCAGCAAGTCATCAATATCATTCACCCTGAGCCAATCACCCAGTACTCCCTCCCTTTGCAGCAGGGATACAATCCAAATCTGGACTATATTACATTGGCTGAACAGTTCATAACGCACTTGAAGTGCTACTTGTGTGGTCGAGGAACCCCTCATGCTACTGATGGCAGCGTGCTCTTTGAGGAGGGTTCAAGCAGCAACAGTGTTGTATATAGGTCACGCTTGTTTTTACGCAGTGCCACTGCACATGAAGTCCTACCGGTTGACCCAACACAATGCATCAAAGTATGTGATCCATAGCCAGATTCTAAAACAAACAAGTCATTGACATCCACTGCACAGATCAAGTTTGACTCGCATTGGGAACACAGCTGGGGAACAGCTGTTGTAAGTTTTATCTTCATTGCTGGAATTCATTATTGTTAAATTTGTACTAGGGCATTCACACTCATACATGTTTTTACAAGTTAGATGTACTGTTGGATGAAGGCACCACCAGTATCATCAGCCAAGCAATCCCTGAAGACGACTCCCAGACAACTGACTTTGATCGATGGATTCACTCTAACATCGGTGAAAATTCATCCAATTCTTATAACCAAGTATAGATTTGCTGCACATCCAAACACTTTCCGTTGATTTTTTGACGAACTTTATTAACGCTAGATATTCTCACTCCACACTTCAAAAATTTGTATCACCATTGCAGCCAGACTCTACATTATTGACAACATTAGATGTTCTTCACCGTTGCAGATGTTCATATTGTCATTACTAATGCTTTCTTTTACTAATATCTGTCAGTACCAGTCACGACTCATATTGCAGCAGCTCTGTTTTATTGCATTCATACCATCCAATTCAGTAATCTTGTAGAACATAAAGTATTGTCTCGTATGATACTCCAAAGTAAACTTTAATAGATTGCATGATACGGCCTCAAATGCACTGGGGTGATCATTTGTCTATGGGGTGTACTGTCGATACTCTCATATCTCTTTGGCAGATGTTCCTGGCCCAGAGTCTGCATCATTTATCATGGGTATGTCTATATTATCTCTTGCTGGATCCTGCTGCTGATATGACCACCAGGGAATCTGAAGGAACTCTACCAAGGTCAGGCAGTGGAGGCTGACTTCAAGTGGCAAACTCAGTTCAGGAATATTGTTCGCTTCAAGGGGTCTTTTGGCATATGTAATGAAATCCACACTTGCAGTATACACTTCCTAATCCTCTGCTGACTCATAGGAAGACCAATTGATGATTTCCAACCCAGCTGCCCTGCAATACATACTTGCAAAGTCAGGTTATCAGTTTCCCAAACTGCATGATTGCTGCGCCCTCTCCCAGATGATGAATGGAAAGGGAATTTTCTCGGTGGATGGTAGGTCCCTAGCCACCAAATCAAAACATGGAATGTTAACTTTTGAAGGTGACAATCACAAACGACAATGCTCCCTGGATTTGGTGGACCAGAGTCCAAAGCCTTCTTGTTATTATTCAAGAACTGCACCAAGTCTGTAGGCATCAAAGTCACTTGATACTCTCAATGCCCATCAATAACTTAAATTTCTCACAGATGTCAACAACTTCCATGCTCGGACTTCAATCATGTCTAACTTTGAGGAAACGCCCTAGATTATCTTTCTTCTCTAAAATCATGGCATGCACACTGACACTCGATGTATCACCTCCAGTGCATCATTGGATGAATACCACTCTTGACAGGGATGCTTTCAAGAAGACTATCCCTGTTCTTGCCGCCAGAGTCCCTGCTTCCAAAACAGGATCCCTGTTAAAGTCTGATGTTATGAAAAAGTATGTGACTTCAGCTATCTGGAGATGACCTCTGATGTATTTCGAAGGTCCCTCATGGATTTGCCAAAAGTACACAGTGTTCTTCGGGACCCGCACAATGACCTTGAGAGGTTGATATTGCTGAATGTATCTGAGGATGGTACCGTGTAGCATTTCTCTATCAAATACCACATGCTTTTCTGATGCTCCATCCGCAAGTCAGCTGCCCTCACGACTGAGGTTCACAATTTCCTGCAAGAACAGTCTGCTATGCTGGTTACACACAACCTAGACTTGACTTATGACCACTGGACAGCTGGTACGAACTGCGCAGTTCCTCATGTCAATGGTGATCAATTATGTCTAGATGAAATATTACAGTCGATATTGCCTGAAGAGCTTTGCAAGGGCTCTCCATTGGGGTTTGCAATCACCGGCCACCTAGGTGAGTGTAGTGACATCCACATTTGATTGTCACTGATAAGTCCTTCAGCTCACATGAATCTCAATAAAGAATATCTACCCTATAAACACATCATTGGTCAGATCGTTCTGGATGAAAGTATTGGCTTCTCCGATTCTGATCATCCGACTGATACCATTTACTACAGAAAAATCCTATGATCCAGACAGTTGTCAATAAATTAGACAGTATTGATACAAAGTACCGCTTCTTCAAAATGGAACTGCTTGCGGGAGAACCTAACTATGTCGTTGAACATGTAAGTCAAGTCATTCTATGGAAGAATAAGCTATTTAAGAAAATTACTAGTACCAGTCCAATTGCCATTTCACTTTTGACTTCACCCACATTTATTGTAATTCACGGCTCCACACAGAGCATGATCGGCTTGTCCAGCACTTCAAACCAACCGATGTCATTGCAGATGTATTTGCTGCTGTGGGTCCCTTCGCAATTCCTGCTGCCAAGAAGGGGTGCATGGTATTTGCGAACAATCTTAACCCTGAAAGTGCGAGATACTTGAGCAAGAATATCATTGACAATAAAGTGAGGCAATTCTTCCATTCGAAATGTGCCTCATTTTGACATTGTTTGGCAGGTCGCAAGTTTGGTCCATGCTAGCTGCGAGGATGGTCGTGATTTCATTAAAGAGGTTGTTGCCCATGTGATGGAACACCCTTTCCCTGCATATACCGGACTGAAACTCAGCAAGATGCAAGAAAAGGATGAGAAATGCAGGCTGCAACTAGCAAAACCCTCTCAGCCTGCTGCACTTGCACCGGTTGATCAGTCAACTGTGAAGGATCAGTCTCCTTGTCAAGCCAATCGACAGCTCCCATCAGATGTCTGACCAGATTCTCGAGTAAGTTTCATCATCGCTCATTGTTCTTCGCTGAACATTCTGCCATAGCCAAGCATATGAAACCCGAGCAGAATTCTCACGTCAGAGCATGTCTTTGGCTAATATCAATACACATATGACCAGTGTCATAAGTCAGTATTTCTGCGCAATTGCAATCACATGCTGACAATCAGCACAGGTACAATACCTGGCATCAACAATCTACCATGATCAAGAGCCAATGGCAGAGAGACTCTATCCTTGTATGTTTGACTCTGCATATTGAGCATATCAGTTTTCAGCCTCGCTCACCAGTGTTCAGTCCACAGACGTTTAGTGGCATTCCTTCTAAGCCTGAAGGAGTTCAAAGGGCACTCCTTATTGGTGTGCTGAAAGTAACCTTGCTAGTAAGGTGTACATGTAGAACGTGAAGAGACACTGTGTATTTGCAGAGGTGAACAAAGGACAAGATTGTGCTTAACCAGAGACAGTCTGCAAGGAGAAACAGTAATATAATCTTGTATCTATGTAACAGTATCAGCTGCAGTTCTACTAGAAGAAACTAATGCTAATGTTTGAATCCAAAGTAGATGGCATGAGTGCATATCAATATAGAGACTAGAATCAAGAAGGGGCTGGACATCAGAGAGAAAAGACTGAAGTTGAGTGTTTGTAAATGGACAACGGGACACAGGAACCTCAACATGGGATAGATTAGAATCAGGATGATTTGATACAAATGGATTAGTTGAATCACCATCCTCAGGATTATGAGTATTGTGATGAGCCAATAGACGCTGGTCATCCAAGTCGTTCCAGTCAATGCCATAGCTGGCAATATCTTCTACCTCCTGGTCCTCAGCCAACTCAATGAACACCCCTCAATGCCCATGCTCAATGATACCTTGGATGAACATGTCGTGGGGCGACCGATGGGGCTCACCATGACACCCAAGAACATGGTGATTCCATGAGGCTACCCACTGGCCTGCATCATCATTGATCAAAGGGAGGAATAGGAAATGAAGTAACCACAGGTGTGAGTCATTGTTCACATTGAGGTTGTTGTAGGCTTCAAGAGTCTGGAAAAATTCTTTCCACTTTTGCCCCAGGCCATTTGTCACATCCGCCCAAAGACGTTCAATACGGATGTTGTGAATGCTCCTGCAGATATAATTAGGATGGGCTAGCAGATGGAGAGCTTAATAATACTTACCTGCCCCATATGTATGAACTGCGCTCAATTCCACGTACTTCTTCCATTCGGGCAGCAACACATAAATTTTCTGTCCCATGGTCACCTCTCACTCAGCTTGGGTACCCATGGATCATAGCAATATCCTCGAATAAAGAAAGGACAGTCTCGGATCGATTGTTGTTGCTGACGCAGATTCCTAGAACATAATGAGAGAATCCATCAATGGAGCCATGGATGACTAGCTTCCAGTGGATGAGACCTGTGAGTAAATTAGTATTTTTACTACACTACTCATATATAACACACCATGCTGTCCGTCATGATGAACCAGGGCCATGGGGCCTGGGACAGAATAGCTACAATGTTGGATTCACCGTGGACCAAACATTGCAGGAGACGGACCAACAACTTGCAGATATGATGCTTCTATACGACTGCGAGGGATGTGGTAGCCAAGTTGCAAAAGGTAACCATCATGCATCCATTGTCCGAAGGACGGAAACTGCTGATGGAGTTCCAGTATCAATCCATCAAGTTCAGCATCGGAAATTGTGGAGAGATCACTCGAAGATCCTCAGTGGTATATTCAGTCGATAGTGCCATCAGGCTGCTGCTCGTCTACATATACTGGAGGTCCAGGAGTAGAAAGGTTGAATTCGAGTAGTCGACAACGTATGGTGCGGGGATGACATTGATAGAGTTCAGCGAGGTGCGTCCTCGATACCCTTCCTGACGAGAGTACAGCAAGATCAGATGGGAGGATGTGAATGCTGGGTCTTCCGACGACACCAGTATGAGCATGACTTCCTAGGTTGACAGGGCTGGCATCTGGTGGATCAGATGATATTGTCATAGCAATATTGAGCTCTTGAATCATGCGATCCACACTGGCTTAAATTACATGTCTTTCAGCAGGTGGGATGATGTTCAAATGCTGAGATAGCAATCAGATCGCGTCTCAAGTACTAATGATACCACAAGTAAACACCTGTTCAATAGCTTCGAGAAATTGAAGGCAGACAGCCTTTTGAGCATTCAAGCAACCCATATCACCGAGCTGTGTTCTGAGTGTGACGTGGACCCTCTCGCCCAGTTGCATGAAAGAATCATAGATGTTCGTTAGTTGAATTGCCTCGGGCATGGCCCTCAGCAGCCAAAAGTCGAAAGCCAAAGTCGAAGTCAAAAGCCAAAAGTGAAAGCCAAAAGCCAAAAGCCAAAGTCAAAGTCAAAACTGGAAATGAAAGGGTTTTTGACTTCGACTTTGGCTTTCGACTTTTGGCTGCTGAGGGCCATGCCCGAGGCAATTCAACTAACGAACATCTATGATTCTTTCATGCAACTGGGCGAGAGGGTCCACGTCACACTCAGAACACAGCTCGGTGATATGGGTTGCTTGAATGCTCAAAAGGCTGTCTGCCTTCAATTTCTCGAAGCTATTGAACAGGTGTTTACTTGTGGTATCATTAGTACTTGAGACGCGATCTGATTGCTATCTCAGCATTTGAACATCATCCCACCTGCTGAAAGACATGTAATTTAAGCCAGTGTGGATCGCATGATTCAAGAGCTCAATATTGCTATGACAATATCATCTGATCCACCAGATGCCAGCCCTGTCAACCTAGGAAGTCATGCTCATACTGGTGTCGTCGGAAGACCCAGCATTCACATCCTCCCATCTGATCTTGCTGTACTCTCGTCAGGAAGGGTATCGAGGACGCACCTCGCTGAACTCTATCAATGTCATCCCCGCACCATACGTTGTCGACTACTCGAATTCAACCTTTCTACTCCTGGACCTCCAGTATATGTAGACGAGCAGCAGCCTGATGGCACTATCGACTGAATATACCACTGAGGATCTTCGAGTGATCTCTCCACAATTTCCGATGCTGAACTTGATGGATTGATACTGGAACTCCATCAGCAGTTTCCGTCCTTCGGACAATGGATGCATGATGGTTACCTTTTGCAACTTGGCTACCACATCCCTCGCAGTCGTATAGAAGCATCATATCTGCAAGTTGTTGGTCCGTCTCCTGCAATGTTTGGTCCACGGTGAATCCAACATTGTAGCTATTCTGTCCCAGGCCCCATGGCCCTGGTTCATCATGACGGACAGCATGGTGTGTTATATATGAGTAGTGTAGTAAAAATACTAATTTACTCACAGGTCTCATCCACTGGAAGCTAGTCATCCATGGCTCCATTGATGGATTCTCTCATTATGTTCTAGGAATCTGCGTCAGCAACAACAATCGATCCGAGACTGTCCTTTCTTTATTCGAGGATATTGCTATGATCCATGGGTACCCAAGCTGAGTGAGAGGTGACCATGGGACAGAAAATTTATGTGTTGCTGCCCGAATGGAAGAAGTACGTGGAATTGAGCGCAGTTCATACATATGGGGCAGGTAAGTATTATTAAGCTCTCCATCTGCTAGCCCATCCTAATTATATCTGCAGGAGCATTCACAACATCCGTATTGAACGTCTTTGGGCGGATGTGACAAATGGCCTGGGGCAAAAGTGGAAAGAATTTTTCCAGACTCTTGAAGCCTACAACAACCTCAATGTGAACAATGACTCACACCTGTGGTTACTTCATTTCCTATTCCTCCCTTTGATCAATGATGATGCAGGCCAGTGGGTAGCCTCATGGAATCACCATGTTCTTGGGTGTCATGGTGAGCCCCATCGGTCGCCCCACGACATGTTCATCCAAGGTATCATTGAGCATGGGCATTGAGGGGTGTTCATTGAGTTGGCTGAGGACCAGGAGGTAGAAGATATTGCCAGCTATGGCATTGACTGGAACGACTTGGATGACCAGCGTCTATTGGCTCATCACAATACTCATAATCCTGAGGATGGTGATTCAACTAATCCATTTGTATCAAATCATCCTGATTCTAATCTATCCCATGTTGAGGTTCCTGTGTCCCGTTGTCCATTTACAAACACTCAACTTCAGTCTTTTCTCTCTGATGTCCAGCCCCTTCTTGATTCTAGTCTCTATATTGATATGCACTCATGCCATCTACTTTGGATTCAAACATTAGCATTAGTTTCTTCTAGTAGAACTGCAGCTGATACTGTTACATAGATACAAGATTATATTACTGTTTCTCCTTGCAGACTGTCTCTGGTTAAGCACAATCTTGTCCTTTGTTCACCTCTGCAAATACACAGTGTCTCTTCACGTTCTACATGTACACCTTACTAGCAAGGTTACTTTCAGCACACCAATAAGGAGTGCCCTTTGAACTCCTTCAGGCTTAGAAGGAATGCCACTAAACGTCTGTGGACTGAACACTGGTGAGCGAGGCTGAAAACTGATATGCTCAATATGCAGAGTCAAACATACAAGGATAGAGTCTCTCTGCCATTGGCTCTTGATCATGGTAGATTGTTGATGCCAGGTATTGTACCTGTGCTGATTGTCAGCATGTGATTGCAATTGCGCAGAAATACTGACTTATGACACTGGTCATATGTGTATTGATATTAGCCAAAGACATGCTCTGACGTGAGAATTCTGCTCGGGTTTCATATGCTTGGCTATGGCAGAATGTTCAGCGAAGAACAATGAGCGATGATGAAACTTACTCGAGAATCTGGTCAGACATCTGATGGGAGCTGTCGATTGGCTTGACAAGGAGACTGATCCTTCACAGTTGACTGATCAACCGGTGCAAGTGCAGCAGGCTGAGAGGGTTTTGCTAGTTGCAGCCTGCATTTCTCATCCTTTTCTTGCATCTTGCTGAGTTTCAGTCCGGTATATGCAGGGAAAGGGTGTTCCATCACATGGGCAACAACCTCTTTAATGAAATCACGACCATCCTCGCAGCTAGCATGGACCAAACTTGCGACCTGCCAAACAATGTCAAAATGAGGCACATTTCGAATGGAAGAATTGCCTCACTTTATTGTCAATGATATTCTTGCTCAAGTATCTCGCACTTTCAGGGTTAAGATTGTTCGCAAATACCATGCACCCCTTCTTGGCAGCAGGAATTGCGAAGGGACCCACAGCAGCAAATACATCTGCAATGACATCGGTTGGTTTGAAGTGCTGGACAAGCCGATCATGCTCTGTGTGGAGCCGTGAATTACAATAAATGTGGGTGAAGTCAAAAGTGAAATGGCAATTGGACTGGTACTAGTAATTTTCTTAAATAGCTTATTCTTCCATAGAATGACTTGACTTACATGTTCAACGACATAGTTAGGTTCTCCCGCAAGCAGTTCCATTTTGAAGAAGCGGTACTTTGTATCAATACTGTCTAATTTATTGACAACTGTCTGGATCATAGGATTTTTCTGTAGTAAATGGTATCAGTCGGATGATCAGAATCGGAGAAGCCAATACTTTCATCCAGAACGATCTGACCAATGATGTGTTTATAGGGTAGATATTCTTTATTGAGATTCATGTGAGCTGAAGGACTTATCAGTGACAATCAAATGTGGATGTCACTACACTCACCTAGGTGGCCGGTGATTGCAAACCCCAATGGAGAGCCCTTGCAAAGCTCTTCAGGCAATATCGACTGTAATATTTCATCTAGACATAATTGATCACCATTGACATGAGGAACTGCGCAGTTCGTACCAGCTGTCCAGTGGTCATAAGTCAAGTCTAGGTTGTGTGTAACCAGCATAGCAGACTGTTCTTGCAGGAAATTGTGAACCTCAGTCGTGAGGGCAGCTGACTTGCGGATGGAGCATCAGAAAAGCATGTGGTATTTGATAGAGAAATGCTACACGGTACCATCCTCAGATACATTCAGCAATATCAACCTCTCAAGGTCATTGTGCGGGTCCCGAAGAACACTGTGTACTTTTGGCAAATCCATGAGGGACCTTCGAAATACATCAGAGGTCATCTCCAGATAGCTGAAGTCACATACTTTTTCATAACATCAGACTTTAACAGGGATCCTGTTTTGGAAGCAGGGACTCTGGCGGCAAGAACAGGGATAGTCTTCTTGAAAGCATCCCTGTCAAGAGTGGTATTCATCCAATGATGCACTGGAGGTGATACATCGAGTGTCAGTGTGCATGCCATGATTTTAGAGAAGAAAGATAATCTAGGGCGTTTCCTCAAAGTTAGACATGATTGAAGTCCGAGCATGGAAGTTGTTGACATCTGTGAGAAATTTAAGTTATTGATGGGCATTGAGAGTATCAAGTGACTTTGATGCCTACAGACTTGGTGCAGTTCTTGAATAATAACAAGAAGGCTTTGGACTCTGGTCCACCAAATCCAGGGAGCATTGTCGTTTGTGATTGTCACCTTCAAAAGTTAACATTCCATGTTTTGATTTGGTGGCTAGGGACCTACCATCCACCGAGAAAATTCCCTTTCCATTCATCATCTGGGAGAGGGCGCAGCAATCATGCAGTTTGGGAAACTGATAACCTGACTTTGCAAGTATGTATTGCAGGGCAGCTGGGTTGGAAATCATCAATTGGTCTTCCTATGAGTCAGCAGAGGATTAGGAAGTGTATACTGCAAGTGTGGATTTCATTACATATGCCAAAAGACCCCTTGAAGCGAACAATATTCCTGAACTGAGTTTGCCACTTGAAGTCAGCCTCCACTGCCTGACCTTGGTAGAGTTCCTTCAGATTCCCTGGTGGTCATATCAGCAGCAGGATCCAGCAAGAGATAATATAGACATACCCATGATAAATGATGCAGACTCTGGGCCAGGAACATCTGCCAAAGAGATATGAGAGTATCGACAGTACACCCCATAGACAAATGATCACCCCAGTGCATTTGAGGCCGTATCATGCAATCTATTAAAGTTTACTTTGGAGTATCATACGAGACAATACTTTATGTTCTACAAGATTACTGAATTGGATGGTATGAATGCAATAAAACAGAGCTGCTGCAATATGAGTCGTGACTGGTACTGACAGATATTAGTAAAAGAAAGCATTAGTAATGACAATATGAACATCTGCAACGGTGAAGAACATCTAATGTTGTCAATAATGTAGAGTCTGGCTGCAATGGTGATACAAATTTTTGAAGTGTGGAGTGAGAATATCTAGCGTTAATAAAGTTCGTCAAAAAATCAACGGAAAGTGTTTGGATGTGCAGCAAATCTATACTTGGTTATAAGAATTGGATGAATTTTCACCGATGTTAGAGTGAATCCATCGATCAAAGTCAGTTGTCTGGGAGTCGTCTTCAGGGATTGCTTGGCTGATGATACTGGTGGTGCCTTCATCCAACAGTACATCTAACTTGTAAAAACATGTATGAGTGTGAATGCCCTAGTACAAATTTAACAATAATGAATTCCAGCAATGAAGATAAAACTTACAACAGCTGTTCCCCAGCTGTGTTCCCAATGCGAGTCAAACTTGATCTGTGCAGTGGATGTCAATGACTTGTTTGTTTTAGAATCTGGCTATGGATCACATACTTTGATGCATTGTGTTGGGTCAACCGGTAGGACTTCATGTGCAGTGGCACTGCGTAAAAACAAGCGTGACCTATATACAACACTGTTGCTGCTTGAACCCTCCTCAAAGAGCACGCTGCCATCAGTAGCATGAGGGGTTCCTCGACCACACAAGTAGCACTTCAAGTGCGTTATGAACTGTTCAGCCAATGTAATATAGTCCAGATTTGGATTGTATCCCTGCTGCAAAGGGAGGGAGTACTGGGTGATTGGCTCAGGGTGAATGATATTGATGACTTGCTGGGGGGAGGTCAGAATGCGACCGGCGAACATTTCTTGCAGGATGGGCTGTGCAGAGCCATTTACATGAAAGTACTGATGACGAGATTAGAAATACTCCGAGCACAAACTGTTGACTCACATCACAGAATTTCATATCAGCATGTATGACATATTGGAATGCAGACCCTAGAGCAACATAGACTGCATGCAGTCCATGTGCTAGAGGTGTCTCATTTCCGAAGACCATATGGCAAACCAGCCTCTGCCCAAGGTCCATCTGTGCTGCTTCAGAGAGATGGCGCAGTTGATTGATCTACAAGATTGACAGATTAGATACCTCTATAAGATAATTGAGTGTTTACCTGTATCATACCGTCCACCTCTAGGATCAGTGAGTATGGATCATGGGCAGGAGCAATACCAAGTTCCCTGCAACCTGTAGAAGGACTAATTACAGAAGGTGGTGGCCATGAGCGTAGGTGTTGACTTGTCGTGGGTGAAATCACATCTAAGAATGGATGTGCAGTCAAAGCTTGGTAACCATCCAGTAGGTAGACAAGTAAATGTGGTGAGATGGGAAGCAGCTCCATACCGAGGATGAGACCAGTACGGATGATGAGACTATAGGCACGAAAAGAAATGATGTCTTCATCGCAAGGAGGAAGAGATGTGACTATTGGCATGTAGTATCCTTCAGACATCAGCTGCCAATGGCCAGAATACTGGGTGATCATAGTGATCAAGGTGCCCCAAACACTTTGCATAGGGCCATCTCCTACACCATTACCGCTGTAAAAATGCAGGTCAGAGGCAATATGTCAGTGGTAGTGCATTTTAACCTACAGAGTTGCATCTATAGAGCCTATAATGAGATTCAAGGGTGTGCTGTTAGTTATCTCAACATCGTCTGGGAAGACTAGCTGGCTGTTGCTCCCTTCTCAATACCAAAACTTGCATAGTGCCAGGAAGATTTCGGCAGCCTGCATAGCATCAGGGGCGGTGATATGAATGACATGGTCTCCTTGTCCAGCAGTGGCTCTAAGTAACTCAAGGTCATGTTCGAGTCAGCTATGCCATTCGTGCAATGCCACACGTGGAGCATGAGGATTAGTAGATGCTGGTGCAGACACAGAAGTAGAGGGAGATGCAGAAAAAGATGCAGAGGCAGGTGGGGATGCAGAAGCAGACAGAGATGAAGACAATATAGAAGAAGGCAATATAGACGCAGAAGAAGCAGAAGGGGATGCAGAAGCAGATGCTGAAGATGCTGAAGACACAGATACCAAAGATGCAGACAGGGGAGCACTACTAGGACGTGGTAGCTGAGATGTAGATGCCAAGGTGGTGGTGGTACTGCTTATTCCACTAGTGGTGATTACTTCCAAAAGACTCAACCGACCCGTCTGAATGGTAGCTGCTGCATCAGCATCTGGAACTGACTATAAAACTGTCATGAGTATCATTTCTGATATAAAATTTGGCTGTGTACCTCAGTAATACATATGGCCGAGCACTGAATCTCCTCAAGCTCTTCATGAAGTGCCAACTCAAAATGACCATTCCATAGTCACGGAGCAAGGCAACAATGCATGCCATGGCCATTGATTGGTCCTGCAATTATATCCCACAAAGGGACTACCAATATGATTGACGTCAGCCAGATGACAGGTAAGCAAGAAATAACTTACGAATGAATACAAGGGTATGATCATGGTATGGTGCAGAAGGCACCAGAAGTCTGGACCCATTCCTTTGGATATCGAGGTGTGTCAGATGTTCAGGTGATGATCTTGCAGATAGAAGTTTGGCACCACATGTAGAATGCTGTCCTTTACCCGTCAACAGGAATGACCATGGGAATTGAGCAGTTGGGGTTGGTAGGTTGTTTGATGACAAAGGTGAATGTGAACTGGATCCAGAAAATGCGAGGCCAACCCTCTTGAAATGAGAACACAGGGATTGATGGAATACAGGACCAACAGGATCGTCTTTTGGAAAACTGTCTTCGATCTCAAAGACTAGACCAAAGTTGCAGGCCTGCAAAATGAAACTTGTGATCTTTTGCGGTATGGGTGCACAAATTTCTTGAAACATATGCTCATATTCTGTGTGCACCGTCCCATGCATCTAGGATAAATAAAGACCAATAAGCATATATCAAAGACAGCACAAAAAGCTTACAGGCTCGGGGTGTAGTACCACAAGGTACTTAGTGGTTTCACGCCAGCATTGGGTTGTGCTTGTTGACCTCAAGTTTCAACTGGTAGGACACATTGATGAGGAAGGAACAGCATTAACTGATCTTACTGCCTGGCATCTTTGAAGGGTTGGGATCACCAAAAGTGGTGACTGGGAAACACCAAGCCCATGATGTGACAAGCAACGGTCATTGGTTGTTCCAGAAATCAGAGGTCCTGGAGGATTCCACGGTTGGAGGGAGGCAGCAGACCACCCAGCAGGTGTAGCTGCAGGTATAGAGGCTGGCATATTTGCCACCGGTGCAAGCAATAGGCCAGAGTTCGAAGAAACTGATGCTAATGGCGAAGTGGGAGGCTGGAGATAGCCTTGCATGGAATGGGGCAAAGTCACTGGAGTTGTAAGTGAAGACAAGGAGACATTGGTGGAAGCATTGGCACTGGATCCATGTCTACTAAAAAGAGATGGTGTGCTCGGTTCGATGGAGTCCTGGCGCAGTGGTGCAAGTGGCAATGAATGTTCATAGTACAGGTGAGAGCAGAGCAAACACATTGCTCAAGGATCCCCAGGTGAATTATTCTTAGGGAATTTTAGCCTGACACTAGGACTCATAATCCAAATACATACCATCATGAAATGTTGTTGGGCTTGATCTGGACAGTGACGAAGAGGAAGGGATGGCACTTCAATAACAACAGCATGATCTTGCTCAGAATGTGAGCAGGCACATGTATCAATCTAATCAAGATGGTCAGCTTCAATTTCACCCACAATCACTTTTGAGCGTCAAAGATGGATTGAGAAACTCACCCCAAAAATTTCGATATACCCTGTGCAATGGCACCCACTCCCATGATGGCAGTGCAATGTTTGTATAGGCATGCCACAGAGTTCACTTGTCATCGGTAGAGTTGGTACTGTTGTCACAGTGGACGCAGTCAGAAGAGAACATGAGTTGTTCAAGTTTTCGCACTTTTTGGCACTGGCCCGTGTGCTTTACCATCATTCCATGAAAACTAAGGTCGAAGGATGAGGAACTCAAGGTCGTCGTTGCACATGTGCAGATATCAGAGGCATAAGCTATCGTCAAAGAGATAAGTTTATGATCTATCCTGAAATGAAACATAATCATGCGTTCCGGAAAGTGAAAAGTTCGTTTTGCGAAAGCAAACTCACAATTTGAGAGGACATCTCGACATATTCTGCAATCAGAAAGCTTAAGTTAAAGCATATCCCGAAACGGAAACATAATCATATGTTCCGGAAAGTGAAAGTTGGTTTGCGAAAGCAAACTCGCACGACCGGAAAGTGAAAGCGTTGATAATCAAACCCATACAAATTTGTCCGCTGGCGCCCTTCATACCCATGTCCGTTATAGTCCGATGTTGATAGATCGAAGGGTTCCAGAGTTGTTCGCATCCGTCAACACAAGTTGATTTAGTATTAGGCGTTCGAGAGTCGGCAGATTACAGTTTGCGTGGGCACAAGAGACTTTATCTGCATTCAACTGTCTTTTACATGATAGGTTTGTACACACTTGACAAAACCATAGTATTCTGACAATCCCTCCTAAATTGGCTGTATGGCTGCAAGGTACGAAGTTCTTATATGCTGTTTGTGCCGTATCTTCCAACCAACATAAAACCGTCGTACCATCTGGGGAGAAGGGGACAAGAGTTCACATTCAACCGTCGTGATGGCGAGGGTGGCACACGCATCTCCTGGCATTCCGAGTCAACGGTGGTACTGACCTGCTTCTATTCTACGGGGCTGGCACACTCCCTGCTACGCTTCACTAGTTCTTCCACGAATTCTTCTGCGAGAAGAAGGTTCTCATGGTTCTTGCAATCACAAACCTCGAAGAAGAG